TTTTAGATCCCGAGACAATTTTAAGATTGTTGACTTATAAAAATGACTGTTACAAAGTGAGACAGGTTATATATTGCATATAAATAATACTTTTTTTTTGGCAATTGCCCATCCCACGGTGGCTTCTTTAGGCACTACATCATCCGATTTCCGTCTGATTATTATATCAACCAATGGGTTCATTTGCCGTTTACGTTCTAGGCTCACGAGTGTATTGTCAATGAACATTGTCACAGATTTGTTCTGAAGGGGATTACAGGGGGGCATGTCCCCCTGTTTTAACCCATAATTTGAAATGTTGCCGTTTGAAATGTTCTTGAAAATAGTAGTCTGAGTAGCTCTTTGTGTCCCGCCTGAATGCACAAGTCTGCACAAGTCTGCACAGAACTAGGGGACTTTAGCTATGTGCCTGGCAGGATGGATGCATATACTCTCAGGACTTCAGGCAGCTGTATAACAATGAAAGTGTTCGATTGGAATCCGTGGAGTAAAAGATTAACAGGAAGACCACGTGGAACCTGCAGAGGAGTCACAGAAATTGATGTACAGATAAGTGGGAAGACATAGAATAACATCAAGAGGTTAATTCAGGACAGAGAAAGGTGGAAATTGTTTGTTCGTGGCATATACCCTGATGATGATGATGATGATGATGATGATGATGATGATGATGATGATGATGATGGTGATGATGAATGCACATGTTTGATCTCAGAAGCCACCAGAAAATTCAGGGAGTTGAGCTATGTGCCTGCCATGAACACAACCTGGAGACTCTATCCTGACAAGCTACCGTTACATGGAAATACTTCACGACTAAGTCCTCTGCCTCATTGTTCACTCTGTGACACTACAGATGTAAAATAGTAGCAGTGAGCAGCCTCGTCGATAAATCGGGACCAAAAAATGTTATGAATAATTCAGATAGGTCCACAGCTGTTTCATTTGTTGTAACTTTCATCCTGTGTGTGTGTGCGTTTGTGTGTGAGTGTGTACGTGTATGTGTGTGCGTGCGTGGTGAAACACCAAAACAATGTGCCAGGATCTGGACAATAAAGATGTATCTTATTTTATCTTATCTTATAGGATCTTAGACAAAGCACAACACAAACATTGAAAATCCATATAATGATTAATACCATCTTGATAAAGTATTCCGTTTCCACAGTTACTGTTCCCAAGACCAAGAAGGAAATTTTCTGTTTTATTTTGTGTTTGTGTGTTTGTTGTTGTTTTTTCGTTTGTTTGTGTGTTTGTTTGTTCGTTCGTTCGTTCGTTTGTTTGTTTGTTCGTTTGTTCGTTTGTTTGTTTGTGTTTTTTGTTTGTTTGTTTGTGTATGGACACCCAGTAAAATCCCAGTCTGTGGTTTTTAACACAGATAGTGTATTCACCGTAGAGGAAAATAGAAAAACCTATTCCCAGGACACTCTGTTGTCATTTCAAACACTGGACCATGTCTCCATACCCCCCTCCCCTCCCCCCTCAATGTTATGAGGATACTTAGAGAAAACAATTTAAATAGTATCCCAAAAACAAAAAAGTCAAAAAGAGAAGGTTAAAAAAAAAAGAAGAATTTAAAATATCTGAGAGAAAACAAGTTCAAACAAAAGGACACCAAACCCAAGCCGACAACGCCTCCAGAGAGACAGCGCGTCACCAAATCAGGCCTCCCCATTTTTTTACCCAGGACCCAGAGTCTCCAATATTGTTGTTGTTGTTGTTGTTGTTGTTGTTGTTGTTGTTGTTGTTGTTGTTGTTGTTGTTGTTGTTGTTGTTGTTGTTGTTGCTGCTGTGGTGGTTCTGGTGTCAGTTCTACGCACTTTACAAAAAAAAATGCTAGTTTAGAGGTAGGATCCAATTATTTATTGTGTCTGTTTCCATTAGAACTGATTGAGACAAAGAGTGAGGGAGAAAGAGAGATAGAGAGACAGACAAGCAGACTGACAGACATACATACAGACAGACAGGCAGAGGTGGGAGCGGCCGGAGGTGAGGGTGGAGGGGGGGGAGGAGGGGATCTGTTGTTCTCCATTGGAGAACTCTTACACATCTAGAACTTCGTACATTTATCGTCTCTGTGTGAAGAAATGTCTACTGGGGGAGGGGGGTGGGGGTAAAGATTTCACGTGTTTTGCTGTTGACGCCAAGATGTGTCGAAACAAGAGTCTTTAAAAAAAACCACAACCCAACAAAAATTGCAACAAAAATTGCCCCCCCCCCCCCCCACACACACACACACACCAGTTTCCTGAACGAGGTGTCTCTCATATCAGTCACAATAAAGAGCGACAGCACACTGAGAGTTGTAGTTTAACTATACACGCATGTGGTTTAACTATGCACATCCACCTCATGTAGCGATACAACTTGCACTGACTGGTCGCAACTCTCTGCTCTGCGCCTCGACCGCTACTCACGCAGTCTTCAAAAGTCCGTGGCTCACGCCTCGGCCTGTCATTGTTTTCTTCAATGTCAAATACGTTGTCTACCGTACTCGACTGCTTTCCCGAGAATCACACAGCTAACCACACGCCCCCGTGATCTCAAGATCAAACAAAACAAAATAAACAACAACAACAAAAAAACTTTCTGAAGTTCTTCAACGTGCGAACAGGACATGGTTCAACGCTATCTACACTTTGTACACTTGATTACTCCATTTACTAAGTTTCATAGTTCACCAAACAACCGGGGGTTTTCCTGACTCGATCAGGATACCGCCTGGGAGGGGGTTCACCTGCACCTTCGTTTCTCGTCAGGGTCTGCAAGGTTTGCGGCTCACTGCCACCTCCCTCATCATCCTCTTCCTCTGAAGTTACAGCTCGTACCACTCTTCTAACATCGAGAACGTGACGAGTCATACCATCGACAGCAACATTGTTGATCGAGTTTACTCCGTAACCGTACCTCTATTCCACTTAGTCGTACATTTGCTCTGGGGTGATTTAACCCAAACATCATCTCCAACTTCAAATCTTCCTTGCCCGTCTTCTTCTTCATTAACAACGATATGGTTTTCTCCAATCATAACGGTAGACAGCTCTCTGTGGCACTGATGCTGGGTCCAAACCTGCTTTTGGTGTTGAGTTGTACCAAAACACAGCTTCTTGGGGGGAAATGTTTCCTCTTTCTGCAATGGACTTCACTGTACGGTGGTGTCTCTCAACAACCTGATCAAGTGCATACTTTTTAAAAAATCTCTCTCTCTCTCTCTCTCTCTCTCTCTCTCTCTCTCTCTCTCTCTCTCTCCTCCCCCCTCTCGCGTGTTTTCTGAGTCTCGTTCTCTCGTGATAGTATTACATGTATTGTGAACATCTATATTTTAGCTTTTTGTTCGAACCTTTGACCATTTAGTAGGCCTAGCTAGGCCTGCGGTAGGCTACTCTCTCTCTCTCTCTCTCTCTCTCTTTCTCTCTCTCTCAAGGTGGGGTAACAAACGAAAAAGTCCCCAGTTTGTAACATGCATGCATTCCTACTTACTAGACAGTAGACTATTCCTTCTTCTATTTCTTATAAAAATTTTCTTCTCCTCCCCCTCTTCTAATTCCTCCTCCTTCTTCTTCTCTCTCCTCCCCCCTTCCTCCTTCTTCTTCCTCCTCCTCCTCCTCGTTCTTCTTCTTCTTCTTTTATTATTTTTCATTTTCATTTCTCCTACTCCATCAACACCTCCTCCTCCTCCTTCTTCTTTTTCTTACTCTACGAGGGCTCCGTAAAACTTCTACTAAAACTAAACTAAACCCGCTGTGAGAAGACGGTCAAAGGGGCGAGACCGAAACCAGGAATTCCAAGAGTACCGTTGTATTTAGGGGTCAAAGGTTCAGCCAGTCGTAGCCCGGTCTGCGTTTAGTCGCATGTTCCGACCACTTCTCCCAAAGAGTGCCGATGGTTAGATTTACATAAAACGAATCAAGTTATTTAATTTTTGGAA